ATTCATTTATTAATCGTTTAGCCATTATTTGTCTGTAGTTTATATTATTTTTTGTTTCTTTATTATTTTGGTCATCATTATTTATTCACTTCAGTTTGTCATTACTTAAGATATTCTTTTATTTTTGTTGTTAATTTTTTATTTATATTATATTATATTTATATTATATTATATTATAATTATATTGCATTATATGTTATAACCATTGTTTTGGATTTTGTAAATTTTTTAGCGAAAAAATTCGAATTTTCATTGGCATTTTTTAGATGAATTAATAATATGTTATCGACAAACTTTTTCTCTTTTCTATGGTTTTCAAAAATTATGAGTTTGTTTTACATTAATATTAATATTTTATTAATATTTAACAAATATTTAACAAAAGACATGTGATAGCAAAAATAATTTGAGAAATTAGGTAAGGGAGCAGGGATGCTTTTTGAGGCAAAAGTTGTGCTCTTTTCACGGCTTTAAAAAATCTACTTTCAAAAAATCCCGATAGTTCTAGACTTCTACTTCTATTGCCAAGCAACTTCCTCACTAATTTTGGATTTCCATAACCATAATAGCAGCCAGCGAGAGCATTAGCCTGGAAGTGACAATAGTGATAAATTTAACAGTTCACTAAAATGTCGAAGTTGCCATCTAGTTTGACTTTGCTCGCTTAAAAAATTTCAGCTCTGTGATCTTCTTCTTCTAATAGCTATCATCATTGCTGGTTTGCTCGGTCCGGCTCCATCGCTAGTAATAGAAGCCATTCCTTTTTCCATTATCAAAATGCATATATAGCTGATCCATCTATGCATTCAAAATCTTTCCTAACTGTATTAGTCCAATGGCCCTTCTCATTTTTGATGTCATATATCGCAAGGTTTAGCAAGTAATAAAATATGTGTTAACCATTGCTATAAAGAACCCTAATCAGCGAAGGCAACGCTCTATGATGGTACTGTTAATAAAAGTGGTATTTGAGCGAAGATGGACGCAATAATGACGGATTTTATACGCTCAGCGAATTCATAAAATATATCTTGGATTTGAGTGGTTAAAGGTAAATAACCTTAATATCCTCTACCTCACTGAGTTCTCTCGTAGCCACATAACAACATCGAGCGAAATTGCATAAATGCAAATTTATTTAAACATTAACTTACATAAACTTTTGTTTTAATAGTAATTCCGCGATAGCTCGCCAACTATAAGAAAGCATTTCTAGCTACTGTTATCTGAGTAGCAACTTCATTGTTCGCTTGACCGTTTGGGGTTAGAGTGGGCCCGAGATATTTAAATCTGAAGTAAAGTCAGGCACTTCTTCAACTGGCAATGAATTGATAAAAATAAATATTTCATCAATTTCTTAAAATGAAAAAACTTTCGTTTTGTTAGCATTGATCCTGAGTCCTCCCTGCAGTTTTCGACATACTGCTTAACATTATTTGCATTTCTGCAAATAACTGTCGACAAAAAAACTAAATCATCAATGTATTCAAAGCCTATGTTACTATGCATTGGGTTGATTTGACACTCCTTGATTGCTTAAGCGATGTCCATTACCCAGCCTTATCCAGCATAGTTGAATATTGTAGGGAAAAGAACAACTTTAACGCATACCAATTTTCGGAAGAGTCTACCATTTCCCCTGGTAAAATATTTTATGAATCGAATGATCTCTGGAACACGTTCCATCACACTTCAAAGCCTTTCTATCAATTGAATCGAATGTAACTATAAAATCGATGAAATATGTGAATGTATTGACGATATTTGAAGCGATATTCTTACATCCTTTTTAACTTTGAATATCTGGTCAGCATTCCCGCGTTCCTGATTTGAATTCAGCTTAGAATTCTGCTTTGTCGTCTTGCCATAAAGACTTATTCAGTGCAAGGGAAGCAAAAATTTTCCCAGAGGCGTCTAATAGGTCGATTCCCCGGCAATTATCACAATATGTCTATCATTTTCCTTGGGAATTAGCCTTAAGCTTACGGATAACTTATTTCCTTTTCTGTCGGCGGTTCGTAGTTACAAACGGACAATCAATTTTGTCTGTGACAGATAACGTATTATGGTTTTGCTCTCAAAGAATTTTTTTCATTTTACCAGACGATCCTCAATAAATTTATTACACACCATCACTATAATTCTATCCCATATAATTTCATTAACCTCTCCCTAAATGGTTATTTTATGATAAAGAAGGAATAATTTTCTACTATCGCCTGTTGCCCTGAGCAGCCATCTTCAAGGCTAATAAAGATTTCTGTCGTACTGCTGTCGTTATAATTTTTCGAAAGTTCAGAAATCTCTTTATCTGTGCTTTGGCAACTTTTTTTGAGCAGTTGAACAGTTGCATCTGATACCCAACCAGCGCTCTACTAGCATATCGTGGAAGTGACTTTCGGAGACATGCCTTTAGGGACCAGTGTTCATCTCCAGTTCCAGAGATACCACCGAAATTCATTTCACTGAGATGCTTTAATAATTCGAATTTTGAGATTGCACCCGAATCTTTTAGTTTGAGATAGTTGAAAGATCTTGGGAGATATATCTTACGAGTTGCCAGTTTTACGTGAATCTTGGCTCGGACTATAACATGGTCTAATCCACGAATGTTGCCAGTTTCAGCGTGTGAAAGTGACTGAATAGGCACGACTATCCAGTACAGAACTCCAGCGGCTAGTGATCAGTATATAATCAATTTGCATACAATCTGATTGGGATGGGTTATCGAAGAGTTCTACGATGCCGGATTGTACTTATGCTGTTTTGGCGAATCGATGAAGGCGTTCTGTATTGGCATATACCGTTGCCATATTTGCCATTTACCGAGTTCACCATGGCGTTATCGTAGCTTGTTGCGCATTCCAGTCTCCTTCCCCGATTATAACCATGTTATCTTTCGACAATATTGTTAATAGTTTGGGTCTACATAGATTTTATCCTTATCACGGTCATTTTCGGACAAAGTTGGAGCATATACACTGATGACCGAATTATTGCAGGATCTTCTTTTGAACAAGACAGAGTCTATACAGCTTTTAACCTTCCACTCCTTCAGAATGCGCCGAACTTTTTCAGATATGAAAATCGCTACGCCATTTCGGGTTATTCGATTTCGGGTTATACATTACAATGATATAGCCAGCACTTCCACATGGAGTCAGGTTTAGTAATTGTTCGACCTGAAATGATGAAGGCATCCGACAAGTAGGTGTCACCAAATAATGTTTTGAAACAATGTGGACAAGGACTGGCTTGCAGCGCCCATAAGCGCTCTAACTTTCCACTCTACTACCCTGCATTTCTCCGTGTGTGCAAGGAGTTATTCTTCTTGATAATTACTTTGACTGAGGAATAGAATGGCTCAGTAGGTTGTTGCTCAATCGGGAGCGCCGATGCTGAAATTCGATTCTCCGCAGGAATAAACCTGTACAAAAATCCGGGTGATACTAGCGACTTATCTATATTTCTATCGCCAAGGGACTCCCTGGCATGTTGCCCAATGCGACAAGCCAGTGGAGCAAGTTTGACCAGTAGTGGTGAGGACTTTTAAAAAAAAAAAATTATTCTGGCTCGAAAACTCTTCATATTTTCAAGCCTTTGGATCTTTTTAATATGCCCGGATTGCACACTTATCACATCTACCATTGAACTAGGGGTATCACAGACGTCAAGACGAGACCTTTTTACCATAGAATCAGCTATAGTTGTAGATGAGTCCTTAATGAGCCACACGAATTTTTGATATTATGATAGGTTTAAATCTATTTTTATTAGTATTATTGCTTTATTGAAACTATGTATTTTATATTTTTATTTTAATTCTTTTTTTTCAAATTTAGAAAAGAAATAAATTAGCTCGTTGTTTATCGAAATTTTAAAATTTATTTAGAATAAATAATATTATAAACAATGCAGTTTAATTATTCTTAGAAGTAAATGCTGTTAGGATTTGGAGGATTGGTTTGTTCTTCTCGAGAATAAAATCCCAAAATTGGTGGATTATAATGCAAATTGCATCAATAAATAATTTATTCCCTTCATGCTACAAATGAAAACTTTGAGTTCCAATAAATTTATTTTTTAACGATAAAGTGGCATTAGTTATTGAATTTTGCAAGTAGTTTTGACCCACTGAAATTTCTTTTGATAATCCTTTTTCTTTTATATTTTCAAGCTTCAAAACAATTAAAAATATCTTCACGGTAATACTTTCGATCATTTATACTCGATAACTGGTAAAAAACTTTTTTATCCATTACCAATGATGCCCTAAGTGGTACCAATTTAAATGATTTTCCGTTATTTACGGCATGTTCAATGTAAGAAGTTGGAAGCAAGTGCTTCTTTTAATTTTTTGAATATTTATAGGTAGTATACTGTCACATTTGCGCAGAAGTAAGCCGAAAAACTGGACCATTCTTCCAACTACATCCCTCCAGATTTTTTAGGTTTTGAAACAGTTTTTTCTAAAGAAGAAATGATGAATTTTTTCTATAAATTTGGAATAATTTCATAAATCCTGGAAAATTCGTAGAGATATCCATAATTTAATAAAATTTTGTTGCAAATTGGATTAAAATTAGATCAAAATAAGATTATTATTAAAATCCATAAGAAGGCCAAAAGCCAAAACTTAAAAATTTTTAAATGAAATTACTCGAATAATTATTTCACTTTAAAATTCTAATTTTTCATGCACTGCTATCGATAAATTGCTTTTGCTCATTATGTGCCGTTTTTCGCTTAACAACATAATGAGCTCGTTTAGACTTTGTGAGGCTCCTTTATCTGAGCTTTTAAGTCTTTTTTCACATTGGAACCGAGTTCTTTTAATTAATCTGAGATTGGTTAAGTCGCACATACCACAACATTGGTCGATCGATTAATGCCACCTACTAGTCTTTTAATTAATTTCTGGATTACCGTCATTATTATTCAAACGGATTTTTGAACTTTTATCTATTTTCTGTCTTTTTTGATTTCAGTGATCAGTTATGATGAATTCCTGTACACTTTTATTAATTGCATCAGTAACAATGTTTACATCTTGTGAAAGCTTTTGGTGGAATAACAGAAGTGAGTTTTTTTTGATTCGTTAATTTTTAAAATTCTGAAAAAAATAATTGACCTACTAAATTTATTAAAGATTTTGAAGATTTTCTTCTAATAGATTTTTTGCGCAATTTCACTGCTGGTTTTTATGGTTATTTTCTCACCGCATTTGACATAAATTTGACATCATAATAAATCAAAATTTGTCACGAATAAGATTCAGCTCAAACCACAAGAAAAATTTGCTAATTTGTAAATGATAGAAAATACTGTAAATAATAGAAAATTTGTCATAAATAATAGCAAAAAAATTTCCCAAAAAATAATTTTTCATGGGAAAAGATTCCTTTTTTCATCTAGAATTAGAATTGAAAATTCAAGATTATTTTCATCGATATCAGATTGTTAGGCAAAATTTTTCCACTTGATAACTATTTTACAATCCTCAGGAGAATCGCCTCAGCAATAGGAGATTTTTATCCTTTTAAATTTTAACTGACAAAAATTTTAATTTCTTTTGAGAAATTGCATAATTGTATAGTTTTGTTAGAATTGATAGATGGCAGAAAGATTTAAGCATGTAAACGAGATATGCACATATGCACCAAGTTCATGGTCAAAAAATTATTTTTCACTTCTTGATTTTTTGATCATCGCCTTAAGCTTGGCTGTAGAACAGTTAGTTTAGTTTAGAATCACCAGCGAAAACTAGCCAAAATCTGATTAAAGTATTCTCAGGTGAAATGATGTAAAATTATAAGTATTTTTCTGATTAAAGTATTTTCGGGAAATTTTCAAGCTTCTCCGAACATCAAATTATATGAAATTTCAGAAAAATTTGATTTTCAATTTGATTTCAGAAGTTTCAGAAAAATTTGATTTTCTTCGATTTTTCAATTTTCTTTCACGAAAATCCCATTGAAGAGTTTAAAATCAGGGTTTAAATTTATAAAAATTTATTTTACCACAAAATATTGGTTTTCCAGAGAGTTTAGCGATATTTTAGGATTCGTCTTTGCCAAAATGAAGTTGAATTTGGTTAAAAAAAATATACTTTTTTTAAGTAAATGAATATTTTAAATATTTTTAGACTATATAAGATTTCGAAAACCGGATGATGTTTGGCAACCGCCATTCCGAACAATAATGTGTGGTTCTTTTCCATTGAAAGTTCGTTTAGACGCCGATGTCGAGGAAGTATGTAAAGGATACTTGGAACGTCTCCGTACGATCGGAGAACTTTACGACTGATTGATCGCTCTTGAAAAATTTCCATGCTCGTGTTATAAACTATTTGAATTGTCGACAAATTGGCAATACAACTGCAAGACCATTTGATAACTGGTGAACATAATCTTTTAGGTCCAATGAGACCTTTTGCGCACCTTTTTTTCATCCATTACAGTAATGTTGAATATTCTAAAGTTTAAATTTTGCAGATTTCCAATTTTTATTTATTTAAAGAGGATAAATCTAAGCAAAAGATCATTTATCATAGCATTTCAAATTTCAAATTTACGCGAGAAGATATATATTTTACTATTTGAACTAAATCTATCTTGGAATATATCTTCGAGTTGCAGGTTTGACAATATTTTGGCAAAAAAACGATAAATTTTGCATAATACTAAATATCTCTGAACTGTAAGCTGATTTATAGTTTAATTTTAATAAATTAATACTATAGCTTCTTGAAATTTATGTGACTAACAATATGGAAAGTCTCCAAACCAGAGTTTGCAAAGTCGTTTCCATGATTACCAAGATTTTGTCAACATTTGTCAAGATTTTGTCTTATTTCAAAATTCGGATTTACTTAAATATTTCTGCTCAATAATTCTCAATAAAAGTATATAAGTTATTAGCTATCGAGTAAATTTTGCAATTTATATAATCTCAAAAGAATTATTGGTAGGATGAGAAGAGAATTATTTGGGGATAGTAAAAGTGAACACCCAGCAATACTTCCGATCTTTAATGACTGATTTATTTCCATTAGCTGAAAGGGACAAACCGTTCTAGGAAAAGTGATAATGCTGGCCACACATATTCGTTGTAACATTGGTAACCAAGCCTAATGCTAAATGAAGTTAAATTTCTTACATTTCTTGCATCACATATGTATCTCACTCACAGTTGGGCAGAAAATTAAAAAATAGATTCATGAAACGAAAATTTTTCTTTAACTTTTTGTATAGAGTTATGCCATAAAATATAATTCTAAAGGATGCCTATTTTGAATACCCCAGAGGGTATTCGATCTTTGTTCCTTTGCGGTCAAACCTGTCATTAACAGTAAGATGCGAATTATGATGGAGATTTACATGTCTTCGATTTAAATGATTCTCTGGCGAAAATATATCTTTCTGGTTTGCGAAACTAGCTGAACTAAAAATGAAAGAATTAAAAAATATAAAAAAAATTAAAATATTCGTAAAATTATACGACGACAGATGAAATTTTCTCCCAATGTTTATAAATATATTTTAAAAAAATATTTTAAAGAGCTTCGTCAAGCGAAAGTAATTATTATTAAATATATTATAATGGAATGAGAGAAAATAAATTTAAAGTCTCAACCGATGGAGAAACGGCTATTTTTAAAAGTGACATCCAGATAGTGCTGAGAATTAATCGAGGCTGATTCTATGGCGAATATATCCCAGTAGCTGGTAGTCCTAGTATTCCGGCTGGTACTCCTAAATAGAAATGGTGATATAGACAAGATAAGATTTTGCAAAAAATGCCTCCCTTTTCTCTGATCAGAAAAATCAACCGATATTAAGGTTCGATGATCTTTAAATTTACATTTTAGCAAAATTATTTCATTTCACGATTATAATTTAATATTATTGAGCATTTTGAGTTGCAGAATTTTTTCATTCACAAAAATTTTAAAAATCGAGCGTATTGTTTTGTTTCTCTTTATGAGGTCTATTTTTATCCGAGTAAATTGTCTTAACATAGCCACATTATTCGATTCGATTTCTGTTGCACTTCTTCTATTATGAAAAATCAATGCGTTTTGTTGATTTCGATTTTATCATCCTAATCTTATAATAATGATCAGTAGACCAACAGAGGAAGCTTTAATTTGTTCCTTGCCGCCTTCCATCCTTCTTTTTTCCATTTCTTTTTGTGGATTTATTTTTTTAGCACTGTATTCAAAATTCTTGGATTCAGCTGGTTCCATTGACCACTACGACAGGATGGCTGCATTCAAAATTTCTTGGCCATGTGGTTCCAGTGACTACCAGGATGGAATCCTTTTGCTATATCAATTATCTGTGGACAGAAGCGCAGGTGACTCTATGGCACTATGTTGATATTGCTTTTAATGGTAGTTTTACTCCAATTAAAAGCCGAAATCTGACTTATAACTTTATATAGTCGAAGCAACATATTATGATCTATCATATTTGAATTGTTTCGACTTTAACGAGTTGAAATTAATATTTATTAATAAATTTAAAATAAATATATGAACAGAAATTGAATCATTCATTTGATTGCCCAGCGCATTAGTGGTAATAATAGCTCTAATAATAGCTAAAGATGCGTGCAGAATAATTTATATAGCTAAGGATGAAAAAATAAGGATTATATAAAAATTAATAAGGCCATATCGAAAGTAAATTTATTTGAACCAAAATGAATTGCAGCAAAAATTATTATTTTTACTTAAGCCTAAAAACCATATACATTCACTTTCGTGAGAAATTTACGAGAAAATCGCATGGGAATAGAAGAAGGTCGATCAGCTGGTTTCTAGCACCAATTAGATTCTTTTAATGGGAGATTTTAATGAGCTTTAATGAGCCATCTCTGAGATGACATCCCGACTGGAATACTCGACCACTTCGTTCACATAACTCATATATTAATATGAAATCAAAAAAAATACAAACACAGATGAAAATTTAATGTTTTGCATAAAAATCAAAAAGAAAAGCCAAATATTTTTATTACATAAAAAGCATTAGAAAAGAATGTTTTGAATGCTTAAAGAATGAATTAAAAAATTTTCGAATTTTTCTTTAAAATTTAAAATTTTAAAATTAAAATATTCCATTGAATAAGGAACAAAAAATTATGAATGGAATGAATAAAGTGGTAAGAATTCTCGGCGACAAAGCTTCATTGCATAAATCGGTCTTACAACAGCAAAAATCCATATTAGTATAATGTCGGCATCCAACATCCTTAAATTATTACTAAAAGGCATTTTATTATTTTTTTTATCGCTGTATTCGTTCATTCACTAATAACTGATAAAATATGATATTTTTAGGTTTATAATTATCACATCAGGAACAGTATAATGGTTAAAGGATGGTGACTAACATGGGATGCTTCGGTTCGAATCACAGCCAAAGCCTCTATCTTTCTGGTGGATCCTTGGGCAACATTTGTAATGCTTACCTACCCAATATGAAAATTTTGCATAGTAGAACCATGTCGATTCGTATACAGCTCGGATGAACAAGGCCCCGCATCAGATTTGGGAACCATGACTATTTTCAGTGAACTACTGGGACTGCGCCTGGTAAAACGGCTAATGGAACAAACCTCACGTAGACGAGATCGGATAATTTGGAATTGATGGAATGGCACTATAATAATCGACCTAATGAAAGGGGTTATATGAAATGTTTCAGACCCAGAATGTTCAGAAGGAAGAGGAAGAAAGAGATATGCATGTAACAAGCTGGGAATCTGGAAATTACCTTCCAATACCTCCGTAATGAAGCAGAATAGTTGACATGAGGCAAAAAAACATGAATAAAATGGTTATAATTAACCATCAAGACCGATTACCGAGGCTACCAGTGATGTAACACTGGAAAATATGATTGATATGATAATGATCGAAGATGCAAATAATTTTCGCAATAATTCCTCCCACCCAAAAGAGAGGAGAAATATTTTTTGATAATTCTCCTCAAACTAACTGCATTAACAGCATAAAAAAAGCTAACATTGCATCTATCTCCCAGTTCATCATGCAAAGCACAGGCGCGTAATGTGCCACTCCTGCTAGAACCTGAAATTTTATAAATATAGATGACGAATCCATAACATGAATCGATACAGAAGACATCCAGATGGTGCTGTCCACTCGTATTTCTATCGTCATGTGACAAGTTGGAAAAAACTAATCATACTGACCAATACCACCGAAACTAGTTACAATGGAAATGGAAACGCGAATCACGAAACAAGGAAATCTCATTATTCTTAATTTTAAAAAATTATTTTAATAAACAATTTTTATTTCAAAAGTTCAAATAAGATGTGAATTTTATTCATATTTATTTAAGTTTTTTTATTTATTTATTTAATTTGTTAAAAAGGAAAATATGAGATAATTGGATGTCAATCGGCAGACAACAAATATTTATTACCAATAATTAATGGCCCCAAATAATAATCCATAATCAATTTCTGGTGCTCCACTGGCCACTAGTAGGATGAGGGAATTCTCAGATGTTTATCTGAGGAAAGGAGTATAGGTGAATTCTCACCACCACTCCAGTTTTTTTAAACCATGGTGTTAGAAATGACGATGAAGACAAAACATTTCGGCCCTTATAAATTAATAAATTAATACCTGTAAAGTGAAAGACTCCACAAAAACCAGCCGGCCAAGAACATTCCATCTCCTTTCTAGGAATCTTTAATTCTTTTCCATTAATAATTTGGTCAGATTCCAGCCAACATTTTAAATTATCACATGGTTTCAGCAGCACAGTAATAACTACGTGGATTATTATAAGAATTTTTTGATGCATAATTTATAAATATGAAAACGTAAAAATCCACTCTAAAAAAGTGTATAAAAAGTATAGGCATTACAAATGTGCTTTTTTATTAGAATGCTTTTCTAACTTGAAAGTGAAACTTACGACTGTAACGTCGAGATCATTGCTTACCATTACTGGTTGAGCTGGTTCAGCCACCATGAAGATAAAGTTACAGGTGGCGTCCTCAGGACCGCTAGGATTTAAATTTTTACAGTAGTTTTACTCCGCCAAGGAACAAGGCGACCGAACCTAGGATGTTCGACGCGAATCCGAGCACCATTCCACTCGGCCAACCCTGCCTGTTCACCAATCTTGAACAGAAAGTTCAGAGCATGGTAAGGAAACAATTCCGATTTATGCAATATGTTCGTTTAGGAAAAGAAATGAGAAGTAACTCACCATTCAAATCTCATATTGGTGAATAATGAATTGCACCTACAATTTATG